TCCTTCGGTTCAAACAGCCTTATACTGCCATCCAGTGATCAAAAGAGGTACTACACATAAAAATTAACTAACATTTCTTCATAAATTTAGCAATTACTAATTATTGTCAAATTTCAAACAATATTATCATTTATTGCAATAATTTCAAAGACAATTAATCGCCCAGCAAAATTTGTTATCATGACAGGCCTAGTCCCAATGTTTCTGTTGTTTACGAGTAGGTAATACAGACAGGGCTACTTGGCCTTATATTGTTGTTCTTCCTTAACAAGCATAAAAATTGTGCTTGTTATGAAATTAATCATGCCAAATACAGTCATCGTATCAATTTACATAAAAATATGTATGATGTATTTGCTAGTTGAACTGGTGTGTAGAAAATTCTTTATTTTCAATGATTACCAGTAAAATATTGTGACTCACCCGCTGCTTGTAGTTTCAGACTGTATGCAATAAACTTGCATTAAAGCCAAGCATCATCCTAGATATGACATAATATCCCTAGAGCTGAAGGTAAATCGTCTTAGAAGACCTCTCAGTTTTCTTTTTGTGGTTGAGTTTGCTTTGTTTCCTGGTAGGACAATGGCTTTTTTTAATTGAATTACAGCAACAAGCAATGTAAGCCATACTGCCACCTTCTATTGGATTAAACCAGTTAATGAAAAAGTGTCAAATTCATGTTTTTATTTTGTGGCTTTTCAAAAGATTTCTCAGCATTTGCTTCGTTGTAAATGGAAACTTGACTCCCCCATCTCTTTTTATAACCCTCACCCTGTCATCCACCACCCTTACCCCAACCCCACCCCCTCTTTTTCTCCTCCTTCAGAGGATTGCATAGACGAGCACTCTAGGAGGGTGATGGAGCTTTGATTGTCAGTTATCAAAAGCTATCATTATCGCTCGCTTTTCTGGGATATGAAAATGATTTCCTAAGTGTGAAACCCATGTCATTACCTCAGTGGTCGCAGCACTGTCACTGAGATGTAATAGAAAGAGGCAAACAAATGTGCTCATCTCCCAGCCTGCTCGGCTCAAACAAAACAGTGTGTGTAACACAAAGCAAAGATACAGATAAGTGAAGGCATCACCAGGCTTCGCTCCTTGGACTGGAACACACGAAAACATTTCTCCAACCAAGATATAATCTTCATCGATGTCACGTTGTTTACGTGTCGATCTCGAAAGCTGACATTCCCAAGAAACAAATCCAACCATCTAAGTGCCATCCTGTTAAACTCCAGGCTTCTTATTTTTTCCCCTTCAAAATAACAAACACTACCTCCTCCTCCTCTTCAACCCCAGCACAGTTCCATCCTGATGAGATGGCAACCAGGCTCAGTAGCCACATTGACTTGCTGGGAGTTTCTAATCATTGGGGAGGCAGAAATTTCTTCCTCTTGGGTCCGTTTCCTGAGCCGAGCGATGAAAGCCTACACCAGCACCAGGCCTTTCTGCTTTCAATCGATGCAGATCTGATAAAATCCTGGCTTTCCGAATGACTTGCACACTGCGAAGCCTCAGGAACATCAGATAAGTAATTCGTTCCTCTGTATGTATAGCCGGAAAGATGCCGAGAAACCAGACGTGCACTGCTGTGCACACATGTAGAAACTCTCTTACTCCTATAAGATTGTAAACACACTAGACAACACACATTGTCCCTCCTTAAACACACACACACACACTTTCGTCTGGCAGTAAAGTGGCTGTGCTCCAGACATGCCCAATTTGTTTCCTTTCATCCAGGACTAATGTCTTGCTCTACCTAGGGGCTAAGTGCCCCATTTGGAGCCCCCAGTCAAGTGCAGGCAGTTGCAATATGCCGTAGTCGTGCTTTTGTTTCATGTTTTATAAAGTCATGTTCCACTGTAAGCAGGGCCTCATCCAAATTAGCAATAATAATTATAATAATAATATTAAATCTCTGATCATTTTCAAAACTTTTTATTTAAATGTCACAGTGTACCGGCAATAAAAAGTCACTAAAAGTTTTATGTAAATGTCAAATTCAAAATGATTTAATTATGTCTGCGAGTGTGGGCCAGGTGATAATTCGTCCAGCACTTGGCTCATTCTGCGTGTGCCCTGACATGAGATAGACCTCAGTAATTTCCTGCTCCAAGGGATGCTTTTATAGGCATTTTTATAACTCTATTCCACTAGAAATATCTGCCATACTGGAGAGATATTACAGTCATATTTTCAGTACTTGCACCCCAATGTCGCCTTTAGTGTATGATAGCTTGACAGGAATTGGTAAAAAGAAGAAAAAAATGGGATGGGTTTTTTTATGATAGCCCTGTTTTTTGCTGTTGTGATTTCTGCGTGCAAGCGTGTGTGTGTGTGTGTGTGTGTGTGTGTTTATACTAAGCCTCTTACTGCTCGGTTAATAAAACCAAACTAGCAGTCGCAGTAGTCCGGGGTAATAGGCTCATCTCATCAGTTGTCATTCATGGCGTTATGGGCCTGTTTGAAAATGGCAGCATTGCCTCAATTTCTCTTGCACAAAAGGGATTTGAAAAAGAACACAAAGCATTTAGAGATAATAATTTCTGATTAAGGGAAGAAGTTGTTTTTCCTCATTCATCCTTTTTAGAATAAACCAGGCTGTGAAACAGTAGAGGCTCCATGTTGAGCATGCAAACAGATGATGTCATTCTGAGTCATGGGTTGCAGGTTGTGCTTGGGCACCCACCGCAGATCGTCACATTTTAGTTTCCTCCCTCAGACAGCTGGCATTTGCACTACAGGGAGCCACGAGGGCAAATAACAATTAGCCTTTTCTCCACCAAACCCCAGACAGAGAGGACAGAATAATCATGAGAGCTGCTTACCGAATGGCCGTTATTACTCTAAGTACAACTGCATTCAAGCTCAAACAAAAACGTTTCTCCGCCAATAAAAAGACAAATTAATGTGTCAGTCAGTCTTCCTTTATGTCAGTCTTCTTTGCCTTTGTTCAACATGGACTATTTCTCTCCATGATTATATTTGGCACAAGTGCTTACCATTTTGGCATCTCTCCATTGACCAGGATTGGGGTGCAGTTGAAGGTAACTACGATGTTCCACAATTACGGAAGTGTGACATTTTCCCTGAACGCTTCAGAAATGGGCCTTCCTCTCAGCCGTTCATGCACGTCTGCTTGAGATTCACACTTTGGTGCGTTTGTCACTTTGAGAGCATCTGGTTTAATTTGATTTCTGTGCTTGGCCACCCTGCAATTCTCTGTGCTTTTAGTGTAACCGTTGCCTACTGAGTGCGGCCAACAGATAGTTCCACAAATAAAGGGGTTTAAACTTCTATTTTCTGGATGGCTTTTCCCAACACTGCAACCGATTGGAGAAAGGCCTGTTTTTGTATTACTAGTTTTCCTATTTCTGTTGCAAAATCTTTTTATGTTATTGTCTGAATATGTTTGTTTTGAAAAGCGAGTTTACATTTGGTGTGAAGCTGGCTCACTTTTACATACATTACTTTACAGTGACTGCTGTATGGCTGATTGCGTACAAACGTCTGGCAATGATAGAAGAGCTGAATTTTGAGCAATTTATCTTTGGAAAAGAAAAAATCTACTTTAAAGCCTAAAGACAAACTGTATGTACATAGTCAAGAATTGTAGCTATTTGTTTTCTTATAAGTATAGTTCATGCAAAGTTGGCACAGTATTATAATTGGAAATGTGTGTTTTTTTTTCCTGATATTATCAGTTGGCTCCTTTGTTATATTCTTCATGCCCTATAATACTGCACATATATTCCTTTCCCAGTCTGTCTTTAACAGCCCTTCCTCTTCTTCTAATGCTATTTCATCTGCTCTATGAAAGCACAAGAGATATCACATCTTCTCCTTGTGAAATCTACAAGTGTTCAATCGTTAATTCAGTGTGGAGCTCTTTTCCTTTCTGTCTAACTTGCACTTGCAGTTGAAAGGCTTCGTTTGACGTCTCTCCCCCTCCCCTGTTCTCCTACTGGGTATCCACTATAGGTGCTTTCAGAAACTGAAGCCTTTTGCTGAATCAAATTAGGAAGCTGCCCAGTGTTGTTTGCAGATTATCGCTTGTTTTTTTTCCATGGCTTTCACACAATCTGTGAAATGAACAGCATTCTGGAGCTCCGGTTCAGTCTACCCTTTACAGATGCACCTCCAGAATGTTAAACATGGCTGCTGTGGCTACCTCCGCATCGCTGGCCTGTGTCTCCTGGGGAACAAGGAAATTGAGCTCTGGCTCTTCCTAATAGGTGGTAAAGTGTTAAGTTTCAGAGAAATGGACTGCAAATTTAACCTGGAATGGAAATTGATCCCATTACCTTGCGCTTGGGTTGCTCTTCTCTCATAGGAAGGACGCCAGGAGAGATGGAGGTGGGGCAGAATGCACAGATGAGGAACGAGAAGGAGAGCAGGAAATGGAAAAAGAGGATAATCAAAAGAGAGATAGATAGAATGGGATTGGAAAGAAAACATATGGAGAGACAGGAGAAGGAAGGAAGAGAAAGTAGAAAAAAAGGTCCTAAAGAGAAAGCAAGGAGACGCAGAGTATGTGATTAGAGGTGATATGATGGCAGTGGGGGTTGTCTCCTGCCTGGATTGACAGGCTGGCTGACTCTGTATCAGTGTGGTGTTAATATCTGACCTCCTCTGGTCCAAATGGAAAAGGCAGAAGAGGCTGAGGAACGACACACTCTGAAGGGATGATACACCTCTTGCTGGGGGTTTCCATCAACAGACCTGGGGTGTTTTATTTTTTAGTTTGTAAAGCAACTGTAAGACCAAGATATCAACGTTTATGGGATTTGGCAATACTTAGCATCCGGCTGTGGCTTTGAAAAACACCGTTTCAATATAAATCAAAGGCACCGCTTGTTTTGGTATACAAGTACAAAATTTTCTTTCAGCCAAAGACAACATGTCTTGACATTGTTGTCCATGTTTTTGCTGAAGCCGTTTTCCACTTCCTGTCAGTTTCCATATTGATGTTCATAGCTCTTATTTCTTTCCAGAGCCCATGCATGGCCCACGACGGCTAGAAGTCGTTGACATCCAGTCCAAGCAGGTGACCATACGCTGGGAGCCGCTGGGCTACAATGTGACTCGGTGCCACAGCTACAACCTGACCGTCCAGTACCGCTCCAGGGTGGCTGGAAAGGAGGAGACCCGGGAGGAGGTGTGTTATGTTGCTCAGAGCCGTGATCCTCAGCACACCATTCTCAACCTGACACCCTTCACAAACCTCAGTGTCAAGTTGGTTCTACGCAACCAAGAGGGGGTCAAAGAGAGCACTGAGCTGGAGGTCCAGACTGATGAGGACGGTAAGTCAAACTCAGTGAAGTGAAACATTCACAGCATGTTAAAGCATTACCCATCCACCTACCCACCCATCCATACATACATACATACATACATACATACATACATACATACATACATACATACATACATACATACATACATACATACATACATACATACATACATACATACATACATACATACATACATACATCATCTTTACCCGTTTCATCCTTTTCATGTCACAGTGTCACTGGTGCCCATATCCAGTAGTCAATGTGCAAAAGGCGGGGGACACCCTGGACAGGTCTCCAGTCCATAACTGAGTCAGAGACAAACTAGACAAACAACCATTCACTCTCTCACTCACACCTAGGGGCAATTTAGAGTTACCAATCAGTCTAACATGCATGATTTTGGGCTGTGGAAGGAAATCAGAGTACCCGGGGAACACCCACGCATGCATGGAGAGAACATGCAAACTAAACCCAGAAAGGTCTGTGGCCGGGATTTGAACCGGTGACCTTCTCGCTGAGAGGCAACCAACTCTAATCAACTGAGCCACCGTGCTGCCCCTAAATCATTACCCATAGAGCTAATAAATACAACAGATTGAAAAGCAACTATATCTTTAATAAGCACATGTAGTCTTTTTAAAATGCAGTTTTTTACAACCTTCGACATTATTGTACTCGGAGCAAAACTGTTTTAGTGTTTTTAATTAATGTTTAAACACTTTAACTTAATATGTAGGATTTGTGTATGTATATATATATATATATATATATATATATATATATATATACTGTATATACACTATGATTCAGTGCAGAGAAGGGCGGGGCCTAAAAGCACACATCCCTAACTCTGGTTCCAATGGTACAACATGGCAGCTTCTGTAAAACATGAACTTGTCAAGTCAAGCCAGATGTATTTATAGAGCACATTTAAAACAGAAACTGTTACCAAAGTGCTTAACAGAAAGATCACTGCATCAAATAAAAAGTAACAAGATATATTTACAGCACATGGAATAAAAATATAAAAACACAAAACATAATTAGAAACAATGAAATATTAAATCAGATCTGATGACCTTGTGTTAAATAGGAATAAAACAAAAAGCATAAACACAATCAACCTGTTGTTGCTTCAATTGTTAACAGTAGAAAAAGACAGGACATGATGTTTGATGTACAGTCGAAGGTTGTAATTTGAAAAACAAGTAGAGTTTACTTGTTGTTCTTAGTGACCAGGGCAACTGTTACTAGCAATACAAGCCATAAACATATTTACATTTATTTATTTATTCAAGCATTGTAGCAACATGTCCAGTTATAATGATTTTAAAATTCTACACGTGCAATAAATTTAATGACATTCAACGTACAAAAAGCACAAATAAACAATTTACTTCTGCAGCTTTTAGTACCTTTTTTTTTAGACATTTTTAGACATGTTACATTTTGATGGGAAAAACTTCAAACTTTTCAAGTCAAGATTTCAGACTTTCTGATTTGAAACAGAAGTTTGACTCTTTTCCTAAAGAAGAAATTATCAGTAATGTGGTTTATGAAACGTTAACAGAAACATCAGTCGCGAGTGCTCATAGAATACTGTATGTAATATTTGTTGGCAAGTACATGCATCAAACTTCCAAAATTACTTTAAAATGATTTTCAATTTTAATTAACCACATTGTTGTAGAGTTGCAAACTAAAATAAAATGTAATTTTGATGAATTTACTGAAAGAAGTCACACGCTTACCTTTGATTCTCAAGTTCTTTTTTCCTTCACAGTTTAAAAAAAAGACGTGCTTGGCTGTAAGTTTTGATTACTGTGGAGAGGAAATACGTCTCACCTGACAAAAAGCCATCAAAAGTTCTGAATTTTTTTTATTTTTTTTTCAGAAGAGCTGGAGTTAGACATGTATTGTATAGTTGTTGCACCTTCTCCAAGGATGAAAACCCTTCTGTGTTGCTTCAGCAGACACAGGAAATGACCTAGAAGTCTCTCTGGCCGCCAGATAACAAACAAACTCAGCTGACGAAAAGAGAGTCACGTCTGGTTCAGATATCTGTGGCTGGAAACTTGAAAATGGCAACCGCTTCGTGCTATCTGACTGCTTTTGATGTCTGTGAATCGGTGTTTTTAGCTTCCCAGGGGGAACGTTTACAGACAGGGTGTTGTAGTTGTTCAAGATAAATCTTGGAGAAAAAAAACAACATTTGCATCATTCTGCCCCACTTTCAGAATGAAAGTAATTCACATGAGAGGCTAACGGGCCAAATCACGCACATGTAAACACTGCTGTAAAAATAGGATTACAAGCAAACCTTTATTTCCAACGTGGTTTCACTCTTTCAAAGAGTGTTCAGTTTGATGTCAAATATGTATCAGCGTTTTTCTGTAGGTTGCAATGACTTCACATAACCGCACAAATTCTCATTCTTGTTTCTTTGGTCATTTGTGCGTCATAGCCGTGGATATATTTTTATTTCTCATCTGAATGAAAAGTTACATATTGTGTAATATTCAAACGGTTAAATTGAAACATGTATTTACATGATTTAAAGCTGACAACTTACACAGAATAAAACTAGAGAAATTGAATTTCCTGCGAAAATGCAGCGTGAATGCGTATTGCCGAAGAACTTGCTGAAATGTAGCTGAAATTAGCTAAAATATACTGAAATGTAGCTGAAATTGAATAACAAGTATGCTGAAGAAAGCTGAGAGAACATATATTTGCTGAATTAGGTTTAAATACGCAGAAATTACTATAAAAATTAGGAAATTAGCTAAAAGGCTGAAATTAGCTTTAAAAAATTGCTGAAAAGTTGCTGAAATAGCAGAAAAAGCTTAATCGACAAGAAGGAAGTGGAAGGAGCTGAAATGAGCTCAGAGAATGTGGAATTAGCTGAATAGGCTAAATTTAGCACCAAAACAGCTCAATAGTGGCAACAATAGCAGAAAAAAACGGAAACTAGTAGAAATAAGCTGAAAAGAGCATAACAAGTTGAAATTAGTAGAAAGAAGTTAATTAGGCTGAAAGTCGCTGAAATTACCACAAAAAAATTAATTTGTCTGAAAACAGCTGAAATTAGCTAAGAAACGCTAAAAGGTACCTGAAAAGGTGGAACAAGCTTAAATTACCAGAAGGAAGTAGAGAGATCATAATTTTGCCTAATTAGGTTGAAAGAAGCAGAAATGAGCACAAAAAGTGGGAACTATCTGAAAAAAGCTGAAATTAGCACAACAAAAACAGCTGAAAACTAGCTAAACATGCATAAAGAAGCATAAATCAATTGCATAAATGCAAGGAGCATAACAAGCTGAAATTAGCAGAAAGAAGTTAGAAGATGCACAGAAATGAGAAAGAATCAGAAAGGGGCACAAAACATCTGAAAAAATAGTAAAATTAGCTGAAAGTAACTGAACAAATGTTTGCTGAAAGAAGCTGAACCAGAACATGTGAAAGGAGCAGTGAAATGTTGTAAACAGATCTAAAGATTTGAAGGATGTAAAATTAGCTCTATTCATTTCCTATGAGACAAAAAGTGGCAGAAAAGGCTAAATATTTAAAAAAGCTAAAGCTGCACAAATACCAAAAGTCATAGCAGGATTGTTCTGAAAGAGCTGAACGTTTTGATATGATTTGTTGAAATAGCTCAAAAGTTGTGGAATGAGAAAATGCAGAAAAAAGTACGTAATAAAAATGGATCTCAATAGAGTGAATGCTTCATAAACATTCACTCTTTAATAATGTTTGAAAATTGTCCCATTGCTTTCCCACAGTCCCGGGAGCTGTTCCACTGGAGTCCATTCAAGGCAGTCCCTACGAGGAGAAGATCATCCTGAAGTGGAGAGAACCAGAGCAGACGTTCGGGATCATCACTCAGTACAAGGTACGACAGCAAAGACCTCGAGTGGAGTGTAAATTTATCCTACATGGTGCATAGTATGGAGCATCAGTACTAAAGCCCAACTACTGTTCAAATGTACAGTAGTCCCTCTTTTATTGCGGGTGTTTGGTTCCACATCAAAATGTGGGTGGAAAACGTGAAACACTTGCAACTGCATTTTGGTGTATTTTAATGGGTAGTTAAACATCTAGGTTTACCTACATTTGTAAATACTTTGCTTCTTTCAAGCATCCTAAAATGAGTGTTTATGTAATTATTTTCAGTTTACATGTCCATTATAAGTTTTATCTGTTCAAGGCATTCATATTTATACATTTATTATTAGTAAGCTTGAGCGTTACCAGATTCAAGCAAACAGTTACTTTGAACGCACCCTGTCAAAATAAGAGAGTTCCAGGATCCTGTTCCAGCAGGATCCAGCTCACATTAAGCCCTGCCACCTGCCTGACCTCAGATAGAAAAGAAATCTCTGAAATACGCCTTAAACAGATCCAAATTCATGAAATATGGCTGCGCACATCCTCCTCTAACCTTGTCCAGGAGCCGCTCTGCTCTTGAATAATGCAGTCCCTTCATAGACTTGGAGTATATCGCATGTACACGCTGACCTTAACCAGCTTAAGGTGGAAATAATCCACCGGCTTTTCCCACAGATTGATCCTCCTCAGTCGATCATTCCTCTTGTCACTGTTTGCTCTCGCTGACAGCATTTTTTAACAAGAAGAGCAGATTAAACAGAGACGGAAATGCAATCCGAGTTGCTCCACAGGTTGCTCTATTAACCGCTGCGCCATGAGGTCACGGAAAAATAAAACATTCTCTCAAAGCTTCTGTTTATTCAAGTGTGTAGTGAGCGTTAAGCTCCTACACGGTCGTATAGCAGGAAGTGTCAGCAGAGTGCAAGAAAACAAAGTGCTGAAAAAAACGGGATGTTTGCTGTACGCATAATTGCTTTTAGAGAAACATGTTTTCATTGTTTGTCTTTGTAAAAAATTCAGTGTACAGGTAAAAGCATTCAGAGCTCGTGACACTTTGCTGTTCGTCATGGTTTGCTCATAATTCTTTGTCCTGAAGCAAATGTGCTTCACGTTATAAAAGACCCTCTCCGGGCTGTAATATGCATGTGTTGCTGTAATTACCTCTATCTTTAAAAGCCTTAACAGCGTTGTAATGTTTAAAAAAAAAAAATACTGAAGGTCACCGACATCCTGGCATATTTTGATTTGAATGCACTTTATTGCATTTTTCTTTCGTTTTAGAGGAATTGTCAAGGTAGACATTAAATTAATTTAAAATAAACTAACCGATGAGGAAGGTGAGTGTTCTGCTTCAGTTTATCTTATTGTTTATCCAGTAGAAATACTCAAGATAATCTGCAGCTATTTCCCAAAAGTTCTTTCTATCTTGCTTTAGAGATTTTATTTTGATTGTAGATGATCCGAGATCTCGGAGTGGAACATATGTAACAAGTGTGAAACACTTTAGACTCTTTCTTTATTCCAGCTTGTAGTTTTACTGGCAGCTTTTCACAAAACAAGTCCAGATCTTTAAAAATATCATTCAGCTGAAACTTTCATTTAATCCAAGTTCTGCCGGCATATTTAGCAAAACCCATTTAAAAAGTGTTACTATATTACAAACAACTGATTTGTAATATAGAAAATAAACACGCAAAAGCACAAATAACATTTTCATTGAAACCCAATGTCTTCATCACCAGGCACCATGAAATGTGGGCTTGAGTGCATTTTATTATTTCATGAACCAGTAAGTGAATTTTAATGAACTTATCACCAATTATTGGAGTAGAGTCAATCTGATTCAAGATGGTCGCCACAAGCAACTTTAGCTAACACAAAAATGGCTTTAATTCAGTCGTCTTTACCACATTTTTCAAACTATAAGGCGCACTTAAAATCGACCGTGAGCCTTATAATCAGGTGCGCCTTATGTATTAATTCTGGTTGTGCTTACTGAGCTCGAACTGATTTTATGTGGTTATTGTGAATGAGTTGAATAAAGTTTGACTTATCTGACTGTTTTGTTTTGCTTAATGCAACTCATAATCTGGTGCACCTTATGTATGAAAACAGACCCGTTCACTGATAGTGCGTCTTATAGTTCAAAAAATACGTTAGTGTGGCAGTAGATGTGGGTCATCCATACACATGCACTAACAAATGGTGCAGAATCTTACATTAAACTTTGCCATTATCGATTCAAGTCAACCCGCTCTGTTAGCAAATAATATCATGAACCACTGGAGATGTTTTAATAAAACTCCAAAATAATGTGTCATTGTTCAGCTGCATCTGATCAATGTTTGGAGTCAACACGTTTAAAAGGAGGAGAAATTGGAAATACCCACCGTACATCCATCCGTGTGTGGTGTGAGCATGACTACTTGAAAAATAAGCGAGGTACCGACTTCCATTTTAGTGTGTAGCTGCACCTAGGCAAGGTCACCATCAAAAATTGGGTTGCCACGTCATAAAACAAGATGGCCACCACCATAATTATAAATATAAATATAAACAGACTAGCCCTATCATTTGAAGAAAATCTGCTTTCTTGTTTTTGTATTGCTTAAAAGTATAGTTTCCTCAAATGTTTCAGGTGGCCTTTATGGTTCACCAAAATGGCTAAAACGTGTTCATTTCTCTACATAATATTTTATTAGAGTAAGATTCAGGCTTTAAAGTTGGGGGACGATTTACATCCCTTCATGGAATGTTCATTTATTATAGCGTTCATATTATTTTACTAAAAAATTTTAGTATGAGAAAGAAAAATGTGAAAATAATCTATTGGGGCCAAGGCCACCATTGGCCACCCTCTGGCAGTGCCATTGTACCTAATCTTGAATAAAATGTTTCCCTCCACTAACCAGGATTCGTCACTCTGCTCTGCCTTGGACAAGAAAAAAAATACCTGTTCTTCTACACAGTATAACTCCCACTCACTTGAGTATCTTGCACCAAAAACATTAAGGTTTACTAGTTCAATTCCAGTCCTAAAAAACACTCCTCTCCAAAACTACAAAACATTCACTATTCAAACCCCTCAGCCACAAGGGTCCTTGGTGAATCGCTTGTTTAAATTTACATAAATGTACAAATGTTAGAATCTGACTTATATCTCTTATGGGAAATGTGACTTGGAGAAAAATTTAAATAAATAAATAAATAATTGTAAAATGTGCTCCAATCAGTCCAGTTTCGTTTGCCTATACAAATCAGCTTTTGTGTCAGTTCCATTATGGTTGTGAAAACCTTCCCATGCCCGGTGTCGACAAGTCATTTCAAACTCCTTTAGCCTGCAATGTTATGATATTGGGTTTTGGCATTGCAGACTCACTTCACAGACAAAGACTAAATGAGAAAGCCTTGAAGCATTTCAAAACTTGATGGACATAAATTATGCGGCACTCCAGATTCCTTTTGTGTCCCTTAATTGGAATTATAATGGAGGTTTTCCCTCACGAGCAGAGGCATTTTCTTAAAGTAGGACTTTAAAATTATTCAGAATGGATATTAACAAAAACACTCACCTTAATGCTTCCCTCCAGAGCTCCCTCTGTTTATTAATGGAGGAGAAATACATTAGAGTATTTGCGTTCTCCTTAAAACCCACCAGCGGGAATCAACTTTTCTTCTAAAATGTGCCGCTGCTTTTACGACAAAAACTCGTGGAATTTAACAACAGGTCTTGATGGGCTTTTTGTACCACATGTATTTCAGAAATAAACACAGAACCCAGTTGACATTGAGTTAGATGCTCAAACATACAGCAAACATTTAAAGATTGTGAAGTGTTAACTTTGGTACAAAGTCCCAATTGCACAGAGCTATTTTTTTTTGCTTGTTAACTTATTTGCTTCTGCTTTTAATCTGCAAAACGTTCTAATATTTGCACATTTTTCTTTCCAGCAATAAGAATATTGAGTCAAATCATATAAATGGTATAATAAATGAACATTGCTTGAAGGGATGTAAACTGCCACTCAACTTTAAAGCCTGAACTTCAATCTAAAACCACCTTGTGTTGAGAAATGACAAAGTTTTAGCCATTTGGGTGAACCATGAACCAAAATGACCATGAAGTTGTCACTGATATCATGTGATAAAAATGAGATGCAACATTTAGAGTACCATGTTTTACGGCCCATAAGTCGCAGTTTTTTTTGGTATAATTTACATGCCCTGCAACTTATACACTGAAGCGACATATTTATGTTTTTTTACCCATATTTATAACCAAATTTTGGGCTAAGATATGACCGTTTTCATTCATTCTGACATTGAAAATATTGAACACCACCATTTTCAGCCGCTAGATGGCACTCAAGTAGTATGGCATGCCATTGTGTCGTGTAATAAGTAAAAGTGGCTATTATTGACACAATCAGCTTGCCATAATCTGACACCTTCGTCCAGCTCCAGCATCATGACTGGAGCAACCGTCAAATTAGCTTCATTTCGCTGTGCCGCCCCGGCAAAATGAAGCTAATTTGACCATTAAAGTGCATTTATTAAGTAAAACGTCAACTGAGACACACCGTCAGTAAACAAATAATTGTTTTAGGTGCTTATCTTGTTAAATTTCGAAGAAATGCGCAGCGTTCCTAATTGCTGATTTCCTTCTTCTGCACACTCCCATAGCACCGAGGCAGCAAATACTTTTAAAATGCAGCTGATTTGACCATTAAAGTGCATTTATTAAGGAAAAGTTAGACTGAGACACACCTTTGCTATAATTATGAGCAAACAAATAATTGTTTTTAGGCGATTATCTTGTTAAATTTATAAGAAATGCACGAGTCCTTCCTCTGCACGCTACCACTTTTGTGAATCGGCTTTTAAAATGCAGCTGATTTGACCATTAAATTGCATTTATTAAGGAAAAGTTGGACTGAGACACACCTTTGCTATAATTTTGAGCAAGTAAATACATTTTTTTAAGCGTTAATCTTGTTAAATTCTTATTAAAGTCCTCTCGTGCACGCTCCCACGGCCGCCATTTGGCACCCAATTGATTTTTGCACAACACTGGCCCACATTTCCAGGTTGTCAGTGGTGACGCATAATAGATGCGACTTACACAGATTAGCGACGTATTTGTGTTTTTTTCCACTTTATTAGACATATTTGGACTGATGCGACTTATACGGCGGTGCGACATGTTCGGCGGAAAATCCGGTATACAGTATGTTGTGAAAAAATCTCAGCTACTACCACAAAAAATGTGTTCAATACTTGTAAAATGGACTGAATTAGTGTTGGCTAACGTCAATTAGTTGTAGCAACTGTCTATTGGACTGTCTTCACAAGGTATTGAGTAGAAGATGTACATTTGAGGATCACTTTTTAAAAGATTGAATATGCTTAGTGGTTCACGAGATATCTTGGTAGCAGACATGCCAACAGACATGAGCAAAAACAATGTCTGCTTATGCTGACAGTGGCAATATTCGGTTTCACAGTTCAAATTCAGCTCAAAGTCTTATGTTGTTTAAGTGATTGCAGTTTTTTAGATGATGTATCTAAACAGGAAGTTGGTTCAGGAAGCACATCATACCTACGCCTTTTATTATTTCCTCATGATTTTTAAGCTTATAAGAGGAATACAAAGGGTTGAGAGACTGGAAATGTGTGATAACAAAACCATGAAAGAGATTTAAAACCCCAACACAGTAAATCCAGTAAATATTTTACCATTTGGAGCTGCTTGAATTTTTCAAATGCAAAAGGATTTTACTTCATGAATACAAATTGTCCTCTTGCAGAACAGAGTTGAACCAGAGTTCCTGTAGAAGGCCAATAAGAGAATTTTCATTTTCTGTTTATGCCAGATCTCCTACAAGGCGGTGAGCTCCTTTGACCCCGAGCTGGACCTATCCAACCAGAGCGGGAAGGCAGTGAAGCTGGGCAACGAGACCACCCACATGTTCACAGGCCTCTACCCGGGCTCCACGTACTCCTTTACCCTGCGTGCCAGCACAGCCAAGGGCTATGGCCCCCCTGTCATAACCCAGTTCACTACCAAGATTTCAGGTCAGCAGGGTCAAAGGAAAGGTCAGCTAGAGTGTGAATGATCCAGAGTGTTCATACACTGCAAGCTGATGCCGTCTTTCATTATTTGTTTTGTTTACTTAACAAATTGAGCAACTTTTCTGCTGAATTGTAACTGAACAAAAGTCGTGTAAGGCCCCATAGAACCAATGGTTTGTTTGGTTTTTATGTGTGTCGTTAAAGGAATAATCTAGGCATTTTTGAAGTGATATTCTATGGAGTCATTATCAATAGTTAGTAAACTAAATACATAAAAAGGACCTTGTATTAGCTATTAGCCTAGACTAGACAAAGACTTCTGTCCTTTACTTGATATTTAAGTCTTTGTCACAGATGTCACAGCTGATAAGGTGCTAACTATTGATAACTAGTAAACAGAACGTCACGTCCAAAATGACCATCTCTTTTAATCTAATAAATGACTGTAATTTCTGGACTAGTGAACACACCCAAATATAAGCCACGCCCACTCATTTTAAACAATAATAATAATTTTGTACATATATAGGCTGCGCTTGTGTTTAAGCCGCGGGTGTCCATGTTGTAATGTGAGACATTTACGCAGAAATTTTTTTTAACTTTTGATTAAATATGTACCGGTAACATACACAAATACGTACAGTAAATGTTTTTTTGTTTTTTTTTCTGAACAGTGCCGGTAACACAGCTCGTTAAAAAAAAAATAATAATACAATAGCCTACCAGGAAGTCATTGATCAATATCTTCATCATCCTCCTGCAGAGGATTTTTTTAAAACTGCTCCTCTGTCAGCATCCACTGGCAGACTGGAGCAGAAGTTGTTCTTTGCATGCCGCCAGTTTTAGTAAACGATTTCTTGCCACCAGTCATCCAAGCCTCCCACCGAACTTCGAGTGTCACGTTAATACACGATTCACACTGATATCGAGTGGCTGCGAATAATTTGTTGTGCCCACAGGGAGAGGCACAAGTTCCCCCTCCCCGTTCTCTCCTCCACTCCTCGTTTCATTGGTCCACTGTGACCTGTTTGGTAATTTCATCGGTCAGATTTTTAAAAATACTTTATTTATACAGGTAGTCTCATTGAGTCCTGAGGACCCACCCCCCAGGAGAGATGTGTAATGGGCAGCTATGTGAGTGCCGGGGTGTGATGAGGTTAAATGTTCTGGTGGCAGGAAGCTCGTTAGCTCGTCAAAAAACAAAAATCCATAAATTAGTCGCAGCAGCCAAAGCCGTTCAAAGCGTGTGGAAAAAGTAGCGACTTATAGTCCGGAAATTACAGTAAGTCAGGTCCTCTGGACGGATTCAAAAAATGGCAAGCGGCCATCTTGCCCTGATGGAAATTGACCATCAGGGCACTAACGATCGATCGTTAGGCTCATGGTCCTCCTTTATCTTGTGAACAGCTAGTTTTGGCTGTTTCCAGCAAAATGGTTGACCCACTATGATAAGGGGTTATTTATAAGACTGAGTTTAGTGCAGCGTTTCAGACTGACAAAGTCTTTAGGATAAAAGACGAAACGTTTCAACATTTGTTTTTTATTTGTAAATCTGTCCAGAGGACCTGACGTAATTTTGTTAAATTTTTCTACCTGGATTGTTGAGCATGCATCAGGACATCTCTTTTAATCTTTTTCTGCTTGTTTGTTTTGTGTGTTTTTGTCCTCAGCTCCCTCCATGCCAGCCTACGACCACGAGACCTCTCTGAACCAGACCGACAGCACGGTCACTGTTCTCCTTAAGCCCGCCCAGAGCCGAGGAGCTCCCGTCAGGTATGACTTTCACAATAAGGGCATGTAAAATCCAGCACAGAGGAGGAAAAAAAAAAAAACACAAACAAAGCAGCACAATAAAACACACAGAACCACCATCAAAAAGCAAAAAATATATATCAAAGAGCTCACTTTTATCAATACCCCACTGGAAGCGAAAGTTGCCGGGGAATTTGGCGCCTTACTGTACACATCTGAGCTTTATTTGTTTGTGGATTTTGATCCTGAGGAAGAAAAAAGCTTCGCCTTTGAAGATGAGAACAAAGCTCGGTGCAGCCAAGGCTACCTTCAGGATCTCTTCCCTTTACATGTCTTTTATGTGCCAGACTGCCCACCCTCAGCCACCACAGGCTTCTGGGGGACCGAGGGAATTTTGCCTGCTCGCTGCAGCATGTATTAGTCATTATTAGGGAAGCAGTACAGCTGTTCTGTTTAAATGCCAAGTTATTGCACAAAAGTCACCATTTTGGCTCATAAATGCCACTGTGCCCATCTGGCAGGAGTTTTTCAGGCGTTGTTTTCCTCCTATAGTCTCTCCATAGTCATATTTGTTTTATTATTTTATTAGCTTACCTTGCTTCAGAAATAAAAACAGGCTTAATTTACAACCCAAGCAATTGGTTATTAACTATAGAAACTTATTTTCTGTGAAAATGCTGTGTGGCTGCTGAGCTTTGCTGCAATTTGCTGACAAAGCTAAAACAGTCTATAGAGATAAAACATGCAGAACAGAAGGTAAGCAGTTAATAGTAGCTAAAATTGCCAAGCTAAAATATCAAAACAGATGCATAGCCCAAAATAACCAAAACATAAAATGAGCAAAAATGTAACTAAAATTTGTTAAACAAATGCTGAGACTAAGTGATGGCTGAAATTAGCATAACTGCAGCTGAAAGCTAAAAGGAGCAGAATGGTAGTTAAATGTTAAATGATGCAATATGGAAGCTGAATGCTAAAAGCAGCAAAACAACAGCTAAGAGTAGCAAAACGGTAGCTAAAAGATAAAAGCAATAGAAGGATAGCAGAGCTAAAAGTGACACAACACTAGCTAAAAGTAGCCGAAAAGTAGCTAAAAGAAAGAAGTAACAAAATGGTAGCTAAAAGCTAAAAGTATCTTAAAAATACAAAAAATAAAACAAGTATGCTGAAGCAAATTTTAAAAAATCAAAGTTTTGTATTGAACTTAAGGTAGTTTTTATGGAAATGTTCTAATAAAGTTAAATATAATGAAAACTGTAAAAGTTACAAAAACTAAATGTCACATAATAAGAACTTTATTGATCCCGCAGGAAATAATTGATAGCACCCTTTTCTTGATTAAGCAGATATTTGAAGGGTTGAAATAAAATCAAACTTTACAGAAGTAATTCAATTGCACAAATAAATAAATAAAGAAAGAAAGAAAGAAAAAGTGTGAAAGAGACTCTAAACAGGAAAACAATAGTGCACACTCAGCATTCACACAATTAGTGAGCTCAAGAAGTGCCGAAAGATGCACGAGCCTTTTGTTTTTAGTTTTTGTGGCATAAATTAAACCGTTTGGACCGATCAGGGCTCTGACTGTTTATTACTCGACACTGGGCCAGGTTCAAAGATGAAAGTGTCACGAGGCGGATGTCAGGCGGACATATGATTTTAGATTATTTCTAAGCCTTTAATGGAATGTGATTTTCAGTCAAACGCTAATGACGACTCATAACAACGCTTTTCATGTTCACGTCCTTTCATTTATCAGACAGCAGCGAGACATATTGGTGACCAGTTTGAAAGATCAGCTGCGTGACATTTTGCAGAGGCAATCTGATTACATCTCTGCATCCTTTTCAACGCAGCACCTGTCGGAGCTGTAGTCACATTGAAGCACAGACTCCCACTGCAGTTCTGGATTAATTTGACATTTGATCAGCTGTTCAGAGGAATCCAGCAGATTGTCTAATTTAATAAATAAATACCAGCACCTTTCCTACTCAACAGTTTACCAGTGTTGATAAGCTGAAGAACCTGGTTAAAACCTAAACTATGATTAAAAAGCTTTCTCCTCACTGATGAACTGAATTGAATGGATATCACATTTTAAATGGCTCTCACTGACTGCCACTTTGTTGAACACAGTGCAGTTAGCTTGTTTTGAACATTTAAGGCCATTTGAAAACTGTAGCTCCTTAAAGATGTGTAGAATTATTAGAGGTGTTGTCTCACCTACTTTAATGACAACTAAAGCCATGCATTCAGGTAAATTTATAAAAAATAAAAAATAAAGTAATTTTTTTGAGTTTTTGAGTCTTTCAGTTATAAAACAGATTTTAAAATACAACGATAAATGTGTAGCAATTATATTGTCAACACCACTTTATTTTTTAATTCTTCTGAACACCTGGATGTTCTGCAGAATGACACAATTTGTAAAAGCGCCGATTATATTAGGACTTTTTCATTTGTTCCATCTCATATGAATTGCAAATATTGTTAGGATCATAACTATCTTGGTCACATTAAAATGCATATTTTAAAGAAGCACATTATAAAAGTGTCCAGTATAAGAATTACCATATTTTTCGCTGTTTAAGTCGCAGGGTTTTTTTTTATATAAATTAGCACGCCTGCGACTTATTCAGTGAAGTGACGTATTTGCTTTTTCCCCATATTTATAAGCCAATTTTTGGCTGAGATCTGACTATTTCATTCATTCTGACATGGAAAATATTGAACACTACCATTTTTAGCCACTAGAGGGCTCTCAACTAATATGGCAAGCCAAGTGTTTCATTAATTCATTCATTCAATTCAACGTCTATTTAGACGGATAAGTCACCTAGAAGATTCATTTACAAGTGAGATCTGTTTAGACAGAAAAAAATAGTGAAACTGGACACATGTAGGAATTGGAGGCAAAAAAATTCCTATCAGACTCTTTCTTCTTGGCTGAGAAGAAAATCTCTATTAAAAAACACCTCGCACAAACAAGCACATAGTGACATAGACATTCCGCAGAGGGGGGAGACAACGAGAGCGGTGAGCAATGTCTATGAACGCTCTCGAGGGCACTGTAAGAGTTCTAAAAAGGATGGAATAATCAGCCAGTTTCCTCTGGTGAGATCCGTAAACATTCTCGAGGTATGTCGGGTAATGGCCAAGGGTAACGCCTTTGAGAATCCAAGAGTCCTGAAATGATGACAGTGTTTATTCAGCTGGTTTTATCTGCATCAGATCACATGTTCTCCAGGCGAATTCAGATAAGATGGCCTTCAAGGGCAGCCAGGGGAGCCAAATTCAGATAAACACACAGTTGTTTCAGGGACAGGCAGAACTTAATGACGTCTACCTTGAGTCTGTGTTGGTCCAAACGGTTCCGAAATGTCCAAATTCCATGGCCACACCGATGGAACGTGCCTGAGTAAAATCCCCGATTAATAGGTAAAAGTGGTTATTAATGAGACACTTGGCTTGCCATACTAAGCCACCTTCGTCTCACTCTGGAGCAAATGTCAAATCAGCTGCATTTCACCGCGCCACCCAGGTGCAATGCAGCTGATTTGATCATGAAAGTGCATTTATTAAGGAAAAGTTCTAATGAGACACACCTTTGCTATAATTTCAAGCAAACAAATAATTGTTTTTAAGTGCTAATCTTGTTAAATTCTTGTTAAAGTATTGGCGTTCATGCTCTCGCGGCCGCCATTTGGCAGCCAATCGATTTTTTGCACAACACCGGGCCACATTTCCAGGTTATCAGCGGTGATGCGTAACAAACGCGACTCATCAGTGGTGATGCATAATGGATGCAACTTATACGGCAAAGCAACATATTTATGTTTTTTTTAACTTTATTAGACATATTTGGACTGATGCAACTTATACGGCGATGTGATGTGTATGGCGGAAAGTACGGTACTGAATACTGATGCTTTGACTAATTGGAGAAGGTACTAATGTTGATCAGTTGGTGGATTAATTAGTCAAATTGTTGCCTTTTTTTCAGGCAGGCACGTTTGTGAGCTGAACAGTTTTGTTACATGTGAGGATAACGTCTTTGTGGCCATCTTGCTACTAAGGTACCTCTAATGACAGGGGCGCTTTTTGTGGCACAACACCAGCAGACTTCAAAGGAAGCTGAGCAGGAAAATCTGTCTATTTCTCTGTCCATACGATAATTTGCCCAAGGACACAGACACTGGCATAAACATTCTTGCTTTTGCCTTCAACATAATGTGATAAGAATTTTTTTTAATTATATATTTAGCCTTTAAAGATTTGTATAGATCAGCCATTAAAACACCTACAGTATATTAGTCGACCTTTAGTTATTGCTGTACACAGATTGTCTCACGTAAGTCTCTTCATTTGCATTTTGTAATTTTAACACAAAGAGTGAGTGGGTGAACTCTTTTACATTGTCTAAAGGGGTTTGACAAACACTTGAGCTCGCTGTAAAACTCAATTTTCCACTATCAACTCATCGGAGTGCTTTAAAGAGTCCAGCCTTGAGATCTTTAGTCAGGCCTGTCAGCTCAGGTTTACCGAACGCACAGCTGTCCAGATGAATGCCCACAAGCCAGACAGAGAAGACCGAGCAAGGAAGCCAAAGTGATTGGTTTTTAATTCTCTCACAGGTACAATTCAGATGGCCTTACGCAGGCTGCCATTCTTTCAGCGGAGTAATTACAAAGCTCTAATTATAATTAACAGAGTGCCGCGAACTGGAGCTTCCACTCATTAGTACGCTGGACTCACTCACTGTTTACCATTGTGAGCACATAAAAAGATAAATAGATGCGTCTTCATAAAAAGATAATTTAGTTTGAGATGTTCATTCTGAGCAGGGAGCTTTGATAACACTCCTTAGTGATGCTTCTCAAAATCTCATTGTCGTCTGATATATTTAAAATGTGGAGGTTTTACTGATGGAAGAACTGAGAAAATAACGTGTTTTGATACGGATGTTCAGTTTAGCAGATTGTGAATGTTTAATGACTTTCAGGATAACTCATTTAAAAGAAAAA